AAACCTTATTAGGTATATTTATATTCTGTTTGCAGTAACAGTGCTGTGGCAAATAGCTTTCTACAGAGCTGTAGCATCTTATTAATGGAAACAGCAGTTAAGACATGAGCTGCAGTAACACTCACATGAGATTTTATTTTTAAATAGGAGATTGAAGGAGTTGTTTAAAGGGACTCTGCCAACTCATTCAAGCTACTTCTGATGTCCTGCCTTCTTCTTCCACCTTCTCGATCTACACTGATCTCTTTGGGTAGATAATTTTTTCTTTTCTGTGCTGTTTGGTCAAACCATTTCCATCACTGCAGGTTTGGTTTTTTTTTTTAATTGTTTTATTCTCCCTGTTAAATAGGAGATATATCTATTACATTTTGCATTAACTACATGGACACTATGAAATGTTCTACTACCACATTGTGTTCTATACCTTCTAGTGCATAATCCTGCAGTAGTACTGCTAGAGTACTTGTCTTTATTCAGTTCTTTTCTACTCTTCCTCATTGTGCTATGTGTGTTAAATGGGATATTTAGTCTTGGGCCTAGTACTTGAGCTGTGTATCCTACTAGCGCATGTCTGAAAATGGTAAGGTTTTAAGCTCAGGTAATGGTGGGTATACCCAGAGCAGCTTTGTAGGATGCTTCCTTTTGTTTAGTTTCTTTGCTCTGCACCTGTGGCCTTGGCTCTGGAATGTCCTTTCCACAGATGGGTGACAACTTGGGGCCAGGCAGGTCCTAATGTATGTAGCATGTGCTGTCTCAGCTGTGGGGTGCCTGGGGGTAAGCACAGGGTTAAGTATATTTTGGAAGGTTACCTCCCTAATGGCTGCCAAATGACACTCTATAATCAAACATTTTAGAGTTAAAAACATATTTATAGGTGAAAAAGCCTTTTTTATATAGTCCACATATAAAGCCGTGAAGCACCTTGTTTCCCTGTGGCTCTGCAGTGAAGAAAACTACAGCTCCAGTTGAGATGTGCGTGACAATTTCGTACAAATCCTGTTGATAATGATAAAATGTTGGGGTTTGACGCAGATATTTCACATATTGCCAGTGTATCTTTTTCTCTTTTTTAATGTAGTCCTGCTATGTTATTATCAAAAAATATCTAGTCTAGTGAATTCCAGGATAGGTTAGTTCAATACCAAAAGGCTTTTCTTTAGGTTAGTTGAATACCAAAAAGCTTTTCGTTAGGTTCAGGTATTGAAAAAGGAAAGTTTCTGACAGATAGGTTTCCTTCGGAGATGGGCTGCTTACTTCTCACTGGAAAGTGCTCCAGGCTAGATGATCATTCCTGGAATTACAGATCAGCAGGAGAGTTCCCTCAAGCCCAGTGACATACAGAGTTGACTGAAACTTTATCTGCTGAATATTAACTAAATTTGTTGTTTAGTGGAGCTAGCATGTCCCATTTTAAACTCAAGGGGGGACATACATGCTCTTCTGCACTAGCCTGTTTAAGAGTACTGGCAGTGACTTTCAGTCTTGTCTCTGACTTGATGTAAACTTGAATAACTGACCTGGTTGTTACTATTGCTGCTTTTGAATGTGATCTGACCTTTCAGTACATGCATTTACCTTTTGAATGGATTGTGTTACTGATTTTATAGAGACTGCTCCCCTCATGTTAATCATAAATGCAATGAACAATTTTCAAACACATGCAAATCTGAACTTGGAGTATTATAAGGACATGTAAATGTTTTCATGTTTTATTGTTTCATTTAAGCTGACTGCAAATAGTCAGATATCTGTTGAGGTACAAAAGGAGCAAACACTAAAGAAGTTATACAATAATAGTGACTAATAAATGTTTTAAATAGCAAATGAGGAGCCTAGCTGTATCATGTGTCAGCACTAATGTTTATTTGTATCATCCCTCTAAGGATGTCAGAGCACTTTTTAAGCAATGAATTAATATCGACAATGCCCTGTGAGGTATATAGGCAATATTATCCCTCTTGACAGAAGGGAGTTGGAAGCGCAGAGAGTGTTTAAATTCTACAGGGTCATGTACTAGGGTACATTTAATTACAAATTAGAGCAGTTGATTCAGTTTACTACAGGTTTCTTTAAACTGCACCAGAATCACAAACATAATCTACAGGTTTGTGGGTATCAGAAAAAATTGCTTCTAAGTTTATTTTGCAGTGGAAATGTTTATAAAGAAAACTGCAAGTAGAGTACTTGACACGTGTAAGTTCTCCCTCATTGAGGCAAATCATCTGGATGATTATAGCATAATTTCCAGTCTTCCTGCTTTATTTGTTTTTTCTTCTCTTGCCTGTAATGAGTGGTAAATCAGCTGCCATGGAAGTTTTCTGACACATTGGAGAACAGGAACTAAAAATCGCAAACTAGTTACTCCTGGACCACTGTGAATTAATGACTTTTGCACATGATGGCCAAATACCTAAAACATAAAATTTGTCTGAGACTGTTGTCTTAGTACCTGTTAGATTCTTGAGAATATTAAGAAAATCAGAATTCTTCTGGGTGAATCAGGAAGGTAAAAAGAAAAGTTTGTCGATGGCCAAAATAGCACCATCTAGTATCACCACTACAGAACCATCTAGAATCTCTCCCTACCACCTTTCCAGGAGCATTCCTGGAAGTGGAATTGCAGTGTATTTTAGGTAAAAATTTTCATGTCTATAAATGATCCTCAAATCAGAATTGGTAGCCATTGATGTGGCTAGAACTAGATGCAGTGTGTCCTTTTGAGGGTATTGGTTCTTTCCAGCTACTGCTTTCTTTGTTGAAATGACCAGGGAAACAGTTGAGGGCTGTCTAGCTCTGATGTTATTTCTCTAGCATTGGTAGTCATGGTCTGGTAGACTCACAGGCACTGCAAGCAAAGCCTGGCCTGAATCCAACTTTGGTAAAGCCAGATATTTTTGAGACGGGGGGGTAAGTTTGGCATGTTGGGGAGGGAAGGGCTATTTTATGCTCTCTATTCATTTTATATGGGCTTCACCAGCTTTCCTGAAAAGGGTGAATGATAAGGTTCTTGGTAGCAGGCAGAAATGTAGCTGTCACTCTGCACACAAAATCTGCATCGGGTGGAGGGGACTGTTAACTTTCCTCCCAGCCTTCTGCTGCAGAATTGAAGCCCAGATGCTTCTGTCTTTCAGACCTTCACAGTTGATTTACACTGTTTTATATAGCAAAGATTGTTTTGCAAGGAAGAGATCTTCAAGTATGCTTAAAAATGGAAGTCTATATCCTCCTTCATAGATTCAGAGACAGGGTGTAATAAAAGGGACCAGATTGAAGTGGTGAAATACAGTCTGTGTAAGAATGGCACGTGCCCAGCAAATGGCAAAGAGACTGGGTTAACCTGATGGGGTTTATTAACATAATAATAACAGCAGCTTTAAAAGGAATTTATTAAAAAAAGATACCTGCAAGTATGTGTCCTGTGTTGAAACTAATCCCTTGCATTAGGTTTGTGTGCATGGGTGTAATGTGTCTCTCTCTTGCCGCCTGAAAGGATCAGCTGCACAGATTCAAATACAAGTAGAAAATCCTGATGTCATTCACACTTGTTGAAGAACTGTTTTAAGCAGTACTCACTCTGGCTTTCAGCTGTGATCTCTGGCAAGAGGAGCTCTTTGGCCTTTTTTTTTTTTATGCTCAAAATAGGAATACTGATGAGGAAGAGATGTTAAAATATGTTATTGTACTTTACAACTGTCAACTATAATGTTTTATTTAGCTATATCTATACAGATGCTCCCTCCGCAACATGGAGTGCCATATGCCATTGTCCCTGTTAGTAAGCAAGTCAGCAAAGGTTTCCCAGTCTGCATTTGTTTTTGTGTTTGGGCCACTGAGGAGCTGTGGTCCAGTGCCATCTTTTATTGATAGGGCCAGCAGAGGAGGAATCTAATGAAATTATCAAAGCTTTGAATTAATTATGAACTTGAATAAGAAAGCTAAGCTCTCTAGAGCCAAGGATCTCATTACCCATTCATTTTCATTGCATCCTCTTATGGAGCAGAAGGCAGGTTCAGCTACAGCTCCTACCCTGATTTTGGACTTTATTCAAGCTTGCTAAACTTGCTAGCATCCACTTGTTATTAATATGTGGCTGAAGTGTCCAGGGTGATTAATCGACTCTGCTCTAAAACTTCAAGTAAATGGTAGATTTCCTTCCTTCCTTTCCTCTTACCTTTGCTGTGTGGCTTTTCATCATCAGACTGGCTGCCATACAAGGATTTCTGTTCTTTCTTGGTAAATGGGAAAAACTAGTATTCAAGACTCAGGTTTGAACTTCCTGGAATTTAAAGAGTTAATCTTAAGAAATAACACTGCTACTTTATATTTCCTGGATATTAGGTAAGGACAAAAACTTCTAAAGTCATTATCAAAACTGTTTATTTCCTTATTTTAAAAGACTTTATGGAATAAACATTTTGGCTTCAGAAGTGTGGGGTCATTGGGAGTGGTTTTCTTGTATGTTTGGGGTATTTTTGTTGTTGTTGTTCCTATTTTAAATTTGTTGGTCAATCTGCAGAAGTGCCTGACTTTGTCAATACTTTATTATGATGAACAATTAAATTGGTTTGCTTGCCTGGTGATTATTCCATTAAAATAGTTAAAAGTCTCTGAAAGTGCAGTGGTTTAGTTAAATTATTTTGATTAATGGTAAATATGTAAAAATGCTTTTGCCAAATAAAAGCAAAAGCAGTGAGCCCAAGCTGCTGTATAATGTTCTTAGTTCTTCTGGATATTTCCTCTCAAGTCTACTGGCAAGGGTTTTCTTCTCCTCTTGCTTTTGTCCATTTCAGTGATTATTTATGAATGCATAAACTCGAATCTATCAGTTTTCATAAATTACAGGCCACTGGCAATTTTTTAAGCAGTGGCTAACTGCCTAATGGTCTCTGTGTATGTGTGTATTTGGAGAATCTAATAGCTTTTGGGGCAGGGGAATAACATTTTGTACTTGTACTATTGCTATTTTACCATTGTTAATATTTGTCTTTTTCTCTCTTCAGGCAGCTGCTATATTTAATTCTGCTTTTGGAAGTTTTTTGGTAAGTAATGCAGTATTTATAGCAAGTGCTTTAATAGTCTTATATTTAACAGTATCATGTGTGTTTGTATTCTTCATGTTAGCGTTGGTGGAATTGTGCCATTTAGCTGGCAAAAATTTGAATCATCTTTCAATTTATGTCACCATGCCATTAAATACAGATACTACAATTTCTTTTCTTTTTGTTGAACTCTTGAGAAGAGTAGTGAATAAATTGTCTCTGCTCATGATAAATTAATAATGTGTAAACACATCTTAATTTTCTCCTTAATGGGTTAACAGAATCTATTATTATGCAGATGTTTCAGACATGAACATCGATATATTGATTTTTCTAATAAGCTCCATCAAATACTCATTATTTTCTATCAAGAGGCCATGGATTTTGAAAAGAAAACATGACCCAGCTGATCAGAGAGTAGATGCTAATTTACTCAGTGACTTGTCATTTGTTTAGCATATTTCACTGTCAGTGAAGCCACTCAATGTCTCTGAGGAGCACACTAAAATAGCTAGATATGGGAAAACAATCAATCCAGATGGAAATATAACCATTTCTGTAAAAAAGCAAAACCAGTATTTGTGGGCCTAATGGTCTACAAAGATCCATAAAGAGCACTAAATATGTATGAAGAAAGAAAGATTTCTTTTATTGATATGTTTAGAGAGACATTAATGAATATTAAATACAAATTATTTTATATGTAGGCAAGCTGCTGTGACTGTTTTGTTTATGCAGTTAATAATTGAATTTGGTTTTGGTTGTTTGTTTTTGTTTTTCAAATTTGTGCATGTTTAGAAGTGTGCATGTTTAGATGTGTGTGTTTGTGATTCCAGTCTCGTGTCCCCAAGAGGAAGACCATTATATATAAAATGAATGAATGACAAAATAATTCAAATTAGGAAACTAAAATGAAACTGCAAGTACAAAATACTTCAGGCATATTAATTTTATGAAAAGCTGGAGTTTGAAGTATGTAAAACCATACTGCCAAGAGAGAAACTTGCATGGCATTTTGAAGTTATGCATTGTGCTGTTGCTTTTTTGAGGGACTGGGTTAAGGTCAGGAGGATGGATGTATGTTTTGTGGGTATAGATGTCCATTCACATTTTTAAAATATCAATTCCCAAATACCTGTTCCGTTTTGTCACCTATTATATCCTCTTCCAATGGGAAGAAGGTACTTTCAGCCTCAAACTGTGGAATTCCAGTGTTAGAGCAACTCTTAAGTCTGTATATGTGCATGGTATTTTCTCTCATTTTTTGGCACAAACTCCTGTTTCTCTGCTGTCCCTAGCTTTTGGTTCAGGAGATTTCCTTGAATACCCAAAGGCCTCTGTTCAGCTGTCATTAGGAGAATGTCTTTTGACTTAAAATAAGAATTTAGGCCCCAGAGCATCTGACTACAATGCTGGCTCCTGGTAAAACAACATAAACATATTTTAATCTCTAGAACCTGTTTCTTCTTTCTTCAAAGAAATCTCAGTTAAAGAAGCTGATCTAGTTGGTATGTTCATGTAATACTTCTGATTTTGGTTTTAATCGTAGTTCTGTTAATCATTGGAAAGTTCTATTCACATGTAATTACCTCATTTTGCTTTTTATTCACTTCAGAATTTTTTTTGAAATCTTGGGGTAGCATTGCAGAAAACATTCTTGTTAAAAAAATATTTCCAGGAAGAACTTTTCAAGAATATTAAAGATTAGCTAGAATCAAACCACAGGACCAGCTGATTTTTTTTTTTTCTCTCCTAATTACTGATCGTTTAACAAAATAAAATTGTAAAGAATGGGCTGATGGTATGCCAGGGACTGTAGTAAGTAGCTGGAGTTGTTTACCGTTTTCACTGTGCTGTAGGTCTACTTGGTCTTTAATTGGATGGCTTCTGAATGTCACTAGCATAGGGTCACTTACTTTGTAACTTTTCTGTGAACAACTGGTGAGTTATAAATAAATAAATATTCTTTGAAGACTAAACCGTTCTATAAAATATAAGAATAATTGGCCTTTAAAATAATGGAAGCTTGTGGTGATGTTTTTGGAAGTCAATCAGTTTATATTGGTGCTTAACTTACAGCCTTGGCTATAGGTAGAGATCCTATTTCCTGTATCTTTAATTTATGATGAATCTAAATCACATTTGCATTTGTCTTGTTGGTCTGATGATGTGCTCTCTGTGGATAGGCTTAGAGGTAGCTGTATACTTTTGTGACCATAACCATATGCATATCCTAGAGATAATTTGGAATGTTTGCAACCATTGGAAGGTTGCAGTTTTTCTCATGTTCATTGTCTTGCAGTGTGTAGCACATGAGCAGGTTGCTGCACTTGTGTGTAGCTCTGACAAAGCCAGGAGGACAGTATGTTGTTGTCTGTCTCAGACTATGTCCTGTGGGCCAGTGCTTGCGTATGATAGTGAGAAGCAAACTGATTTGAAAGGGCTGAAAGATGTGCTAGGCTTTTAACTCCTTTTCTAGGGGGCATGTTTGGTTTTTTTTGGCTTTTTGGTTTTCTTTTTTTAACTCTTTACTCATTTTTTTAGACTAGAAAATGGGCCTTGAGAAAAATAAGCCATGGAACAAAATGTCTGAAGGAAACGAACCTAATTTTAGTATGATACTGAGATGAGTTATTTAGATGAAACGGAACACATTGTGGTAAGCAAAATGTAGAAATGCCAAATATGTGTCGATAAGCAGAAACACACTTATATTAAGCACCTGGAGGTGTTTCCACTGGTAAGGAGATTTACAAAAAATGCCAATCCAATCACAAAGTAATTACTTTTAAACTCCACCAAAGCCCATACTCCTATAAATATGCAGGCAAAAGAATGCATGGAATTATGTGTACATACTTACACTTAGTTTAATAATGTCCTGGGTCTAGTTAAAACACAGTGTTTTAAAGAACTAATTGTTACAGAAAAGGATTTATATGTAGCTAGATTAGTAATAACTAACAATAGTTGAATTCAATTTACATAATTTTCAGCCACGAGGATATTTAGAATCATACCACTGAGGATTGCTTTGAGTTGGGTACTTAATGTCATTATCTCCTCCCCTTGTTTAAACAGTTTGGTTTACAATAATTGTGGAACATAATAAGTGATTTCAGTTTTTCCTTTTAATGGGGCTTTAATAAAATCTGGTAGCGTTTTACTAATACTGGCTGGTTGGTTATCAGCAAGGTTACTACTGTAAAGCATGTAAATGTATACTAAGGTCTGCTGAGAGAAAGAAAGCACTGAGGTAGCTGCTTCCATTTGTGTGGGAGAGGATAATTTTGCACCTCAAGGCTAAAGATATTGTTTGGGATGTTAAATATGGGTCTGCTGAGATTCTTAATTTATGCATTACTGTGCTTCCTAAGCCTTTTTAGTCTGCTTCTACAAGTTGTGCTTCAACAGCAAAACAATGCTTGTTAATGTCTAAAGGACATTAGAGCAATAGATGGGATACTGCAGAACTTGTTTCACTGATGATTGTTCCATGGTGTTTGCTTGAGTGGCTCAGCTCGTTCGACTTAAGGTTCACCAAGGCATAGCCCATCATTGAGCTGTTCTTGCACTGAAGTGGAGACACAGACTCAATTGAGAGCTAAACTCAGTTTACAGTGACAATATATGCCATCTGCATGGAAGAAGGAGAGGGCCTAAAGACTAGAAGAGGATGTCCTCCAAATGCTCTGCACTGCTAGACTAGAAACAGTCTTATATAATCTTTTTTTCCACACATTAAGCTCCTTTCTGCTTGAGAGAGTGGGCTTGGAAACAGAAGAGTATCCAGGTTATGATGTGAGCCAGTTCTCTTATTCTTTGGTGCCTTGGGGTTATGAGCAGTACGTGTGAAAGGAACAGCCATCAGGTTCACCTTAAACAACTGTAACCAAGATGTGAAAGTCTGTCATGACGTGAAATCGACTCGGAGGACTCTGCTCTGGTGACCATTGCATTCTTGAGAAAACAGAGCAGAGGGTGGTCAAAAAATGAAAGTGTTGGTTGAGACTTCTTCCAGTGCTGTCTAGGAATAGGTTAGCTTTCTTTGTTGAAACCTATGGGATGAAATAAGTCGTGTTCAGGCTACATAAATCACTCAGAAGGAAGGAACCTAGTCGAAGTGCTTATCATTTCACTAACCTCCTTTGTCCAAATTAACGATGTATTGTTTGTTGTTTTATCTGACCATCTTTTGAAGGCAATAGAGATGGTTCGTATTGTCCAAAACTCAAATAATTTTTGGGAGCAGCCTCTTGGCTGATCAAATCCAGGCTAGTGTTTTTAATTACATTGTTTTCCAAATGAAAGCTAAAGCTAGCAGGGAATATAAGAGTTAGTTTTTCACATACACAGAAAGCCTAGTTGGTTAATGAAAATGTATGGAATTCTTACCTACTCTGCTTTAGCAGGCATAATGATTTACACAGCCTGACAGCACTAGTGCAGCAAGTAAACGCATTAGTCACAGTGTCCATTTTTCTTGCAAATTTGTGACACAGATTTAATTATGGGAATGACCAGCAACTTACAAATCTAATTTTGGTGGGCTGAGCCAACTTTTTTGTTTTAATAACAATAGATTTTTTAGCAATGATTTCATTACTATTTAAAGAAATCCACACATAGGGAAATAACCAATTGGCTGAATTTATTTACTTTATTTTACCCTAATGTATGTTGAATGTTTTAGGTTTCTTTTTCTTATTTTTCTTTTTTTTTTTTATTATTATTATTACTTTTTAGTATTAGTTATTTCTAGGATAAATATTCTTATCTGGCTTAACTATTTCTAGCACAAATATTGTAAATATTTTTCTAAACCCAGGCAAATGTTTGTTTACCCCTTTGTTCCCTCTTAATTTTGTCTTTACAGTATGAGAAGGGGCAGAATAGTCATCTGGGATTCTCTTTTTTTACTGTGCTACCTGTTTACAAGAAGATCTTGCCAGGAAATCTGTTCACAGCAGGTGCTGAATTCCAGAGTCACTCTTGTTTAA